TAATTAGTTAAATCTGCCACTCTTTTGTATCAGCTCTTGCATACCAGTACTTTTCTATTTACTTGTTCAAGCAGTAGGCTGTTAGTTTCACCCAAATCAATACAAATGTGCTAAAAGCACACTCTGATGCTGATTTGTTTGGTTTACTTTGTTTTTTTTTTTTTTTTTTTTTTTTTTTTTTAAATCATCAAAATTCTGAATTCAATGGTGGCCTGGTCAGGAATGTCACTTCTACAATTTCCCACCATTTTGATGCAACCAATTGTGATATACCACTTCTGCAAACAAAGGTTTGGGATAGGAAGCTGGAGTCTGTTTTAAACGCTAGAAGGAAAAAACAAACTCATTACTTTCCCTCAGCCATACTTCAACATCTTCTGCCTGTCCTGGGCTTAACTTCTGACCTTCATTGTTTGGATCAGTCATGCTGACTAGTAATAGGAACAGAAGCTTCTCTGAATTGTGTTTTGACTATCATTTTGTGGTTTTTAGCTTTTTAGATTAGATGAAGCCAGATTTCCACTGACACTGCAATTGCTTTAAATTGTTTTAGATCGATGTTGTGCCTTGCATGCCATGGGAAAGCATTGCAATCCATTATACCTAAACACAGATTTCTGATTGGTAATTAAGGTATTGTTGCCTAAAACATGATTTGGTTTTTTAATGAACATGCATTTAACATAGTGGTTTTTTTGTAATTTAAACATCTAGTGTGCTATAAAGGGAATATACAATTTCATTCTTTGACCATTATTAGAAAACCGTGAATGTAGACAGGTGCAATGAAGACACTCTGCATACAGATCTATTTTTGTAGAAGAAATATAGTGCTTTGCATGCAGATTACATGCATAAATCTAGTCATTTATTTTGGTATGGGTCACTTCACAAAGTATAGTTGTTTTATAATGTGACAGCAAGTAGAAGGCATTTTTAGCAAATGGTGTAAAACTTTTCCCCTCTGTTTTCTTTTTCTTTTTTAGGAAGGATTAAGGCCCGGAGACACAACCAGTACTTTCTGTGGAACTCCCAACTATATTGCTCCTGAGATTTTGCGAGGAGAAGATTATGGTAATTTGATCATCATAAAATACTTGAGCTGTAATGCATTTCTATTAACTTCCTTGTAAAATGATTTGTGGAAGAAAATAAGAATCACCATACTAGATCAGACCCATGGTCCAGCTAGTCCAGTATTCTGTCTCCAGCAGTGGTCGGCACTAGATGTTTCACAGGATGGGGCAAGATACCTCATTTTACGCAGATATGGGATAGTCCATTCCCCCCTATTAGGTAGTGGTTTTAATATTTTCCACAGTTTATTAACATTAGCTATTAGAACTCTGGATTGTTATCCATATAAATGTCCTGTCAGTCCCTTTTCAATCTTGTTAACTTCTTGGCCTCAATGATGTTTTGTGACAGAGTTCCATAGTTTAGTTATGCATTTTGTGGGGGGAAGGGGAGAATTCAGTTTTGAATTTGCCACCCTTTAATTTCATAGAATATTCTCTTGTTGTGTCATGAGACAAGGAACAGAAACTCCTAATCTACCTTTTCTATACTATTCATTATGTATTTTCATCATATCTCATCTTATTCATCTTTCTTCTAAAGTAAAGAATCGTTCTTTTCTGGGTCCGAGATAAATTTGCCTATCTCTGTGGTAAAGCATCTGTTAGCTTAGGACTTGATCATTTGTTCCCTTTTTCACTGTAGCTCGCTATCTTATAAATCTAAGTATTGGGTCTCAGATAGTAAAGCATTTTAAAATGCTTTTTCTTTGTTTATATGGATAATGTATCTAGTGACCTGTAATAGCTATTAAAACTTATACAAACACAGTATGTACAAGTTCTATTGTAGGTGTAACACTTTTTTTCAGGATTAACTTGGCCACTTTTAGTTATACAAATGCAAAAGGGTATTTTGCTAGTTGCAGACAGTTCTGGAACATTGCATTACTTGGGTCTTATATTTCTGGCAAAAGCCTGAGGCTCACCCTATGACCTATCACAGTCGCCTTCCTTCCAGAGCAGGGAGATGGCTTAGTATTGTCTTCAGAACTAGTTAGGTGTGCTTAATTTTCTGTGACACAAGGCCCTTCCTCTTTTCTGCCAGATTCTCCCCAGGCTAAGCAGACTTATCTTTATAGCAGTCCCAGCCTTGAGGAGAATCAAGATACTAGAACTGTTAATTGATACCTGTCTTTAGCAGTGAACAATAGAACATGTGATGTCACCTGCATAAATAACAATTTTTATTTATTGCAGTGTTTGACACTAATAACTATGTAGCCTTCCACCAAAAAATGCTGTTAATACACAGCTGAGATTGTCTTTTTTTTATTCCCCCTTAAATACTAAAATTATTGTTTAAACTTGAGAACCTAATCTTTAAGCTTTCAGCACCAACCTTTTAAGTCTCCGTTCCTTCTCCTTTCCGAGTACTGCCTTCCATCCTGCACATAATGAACAAGAGGACTCCTGTTGCCATTGTCACACCCACCTTAAACGTACAGTAGTCTTTAGGTCATAACTTGACTATTGCATGCCTTTCTGACAGTCAAGACGTCTGATTATTCATTAGTAAAATATACCTTGTTCTTCATATAGTTAGCACTGATACTTATTTTAATAAGTCCTCCCTGATAAAATAGTTTATATTCTGGTTTTTATTTTTTATTTTTTTTAAATTCTAGGCTTCAGTGTTGACTGGTGGGCATTAGGTGTACTTATGTTTGAAATGATGGCTGGCAGATCCCCATTTGATATTGTTGGAAGCTCCGATAACCCCGATCAAAACACAGAAGATTATCTCTTTCAAGGTGAGTAGTGGTGAGGTTTTAACGTACAATAGATTCTGCTTATTGGCAATCCTTTGGCTGACAGCAGAAAGTTACCATTATCTGGCAGTTGCCAAAAAGAAGTTAGGTTTGCAGGGCTGCAGCTGGAAGCACTGGAACGTGCCTTCCCTGGCTGCAGCCCTGCAAATCTGTCTGTGGGGAGGATGGGTGCAGCTCAGATGCTAGGGCTTTCCCCAGGGAGGGAAGGCTGTGGCTAGGGCAGCAGTGGAGGTGCTGGAGGGCCACTGTTCTGCACAGTACCCATCTCCACTGCTGTCCTGCCCACAGCCTCCTCTCCCAGTCCGCAGCACTGGGTCTCTAGCAGGGTTGTGGATGTGGGCGTGTCTGCCCCTTATCTCCTGTGCAATCCCTGGGCACAGGCAGGTTTGCAGGACTGCAGCCAGGAAAGGAAGCACTGGTACATGGCAGCACCAGCTGCAGGCAGATTTTTTTGGGGTTGCTGCCAGGAAAGGCACCTTCCAGTGCTTCCTTCCTGGCTGCAGCCCCACAAACCTGCCTGTGGCTTTGGCCTTTCTCCCCCCCCCCCCCCCCCCCCCCAAAAAGTTCAGTACTTGGCATGCCATTGCCAGTATCCAAATCTCATTAACATTAATTAATGGGATGGGATTGGTTCATTGGTTCCTGGCAAAATGTTGCTGTTAACAGGAAGTTGTTTATTAGGGTTGCTATTAAGCGGCATCCACTTTATTTAGTGTTTTGTTTTCTCTACAAAATGTTTTACAAAGAGAAGAAACTTTAACCATACAAAGTGCTGATGTCTTAAATTCTCTATTCTTCTAGTCATTTTGGAAAAACAAATCCGTATTCCACGATCCCTTTCTGTTAAAGCAGCAAGTGTTCTAAAAAGTTTTCTTAACAAGGTAAGAGCTAAAGCCCTATATTTGGACTGAGGTTTTTCAAGAGCTCCGATTGTCAACTTACACTTATAAGGGTGTAACTGAAATTAAAATTGCCCCTAAGCTGAAGCTCAGCAGACAAGGTCTGAGCCTGGGAAGGGCTATTCTAAAACAGAATTCTTAATAGATGGAACTGACATATGTTTGGCTTTTTTTACTGTTTAACTGTTTTTAAAACCTGAAACTTTGCAGATACTCAGACCTAATGGGTAAACCACAAAATAAAAGGCCTAGAATGCACAGAATGGCCATATTGACCAGGCATTGGGGAAACAGATTTTTACCATAATTTTTGAAACATCACTTCTGAAATTCTCTGGTACTTTATGGTCTGCTAGATCATCATTATTCTGAATAGTTGGAAGTAGGTGGACTTGATGTGTGTGGAATTTTGCATTGAAACAGAATTGCCAGAATATTTCAGAAGGGAACTTCTGAGAGATCACTTAAGACTTATTTCAGAACAAAATGCCTCACCCCATGTTAGTGAAGGACTTGAATGCATGTTTCTGGGCTTGACAAACTTCACTTTCAAATGTGACGACAAAGTCTATCTCATTTAGTGTCTTTGGTATTTAAAAATAAATTGCTTGAAAAAATGACAGGAACTGGGTAGATGCTATAGCAGCGGTCACCAACTGGTCGATCCTAGAGGATCTCCCAGTTGAACGCGATCTCCGGCGGTGCAGTGTGGCTGCCGCTATAGCAGACTCCCTGCCTACCCCAGCCCCATGGTCCCGGGGGCAGGGGTCTCCCTCTGCACGCTGCTCCTGCCTGCAAGCACTGCCCCCACAGCTCCCATTGGCCGGGAGAGCTGCGGGGGCGGTGCTTGCAGAGAGGGGCAGCATGCAGAGCCACGTGCCCTCCGCCACAGGGGCGCGTTGGCCCCTTCTGGGAGCGGCATGGGGACGGGGTAGGCAGGGAGTCTACCTTAGCCTTGCTGCACCTGCCACTGACCGGGAGCCACCGGAGGTAAGTGCTGCCCGGTGGTAGGCCACACCCAAACCTCCATCCCTGAGCCCCCTCCCAGAGTCAGCACCCCAAGCCCCCTCCCAGAGCCCAAACCCTGCACCCCAACACTCTGCCCCAGCCTGGAGCTCCCTCCTGCACCCAAACTCCCTCTTAGAGCTTGCACCCTTCACCCCCTCCTGCACCCCAACCACCTGCCCGAGGCTCAGCCCAGAGCCCCCTCCCACACTGCGAACCCCTCAGCCAGAGTGCCCTCCCAAACCCCTGCCCCAGCCCAGGGAAAGTGAGTGAGGGTAGGGGAGAGCGAGCGGCAGAGAGAGGGTAGATGGAGTGAGTGGGAAGGGGCGGGGTAGATCCTGGGTTGCCCTTAGATTCAAAAAGTGATCTTGGGCGTAAAAAGGTTGGAGACCACTGTGCTATAGCATTGCTGCAGCTGACCTACAACTAACCCACAGATTTGTTCACAAACTAGGCTTGTTAGGATTGCTTCATTTAAATTTGGAGCATTACCAACTCCTCTGAGCTATGGAGGTTTTTGTTATACAAAAATAGCTGTGGAAACCTAGAAGAAAAACACACCTTGATGCTGACTTTTGGTCCTTTTTTTTTAATCTTTTTGTTGAAATGATGGTATTGCATTGGAGGTAGCCATCCTTAACAGTACCCAACTAAGCACTACTTGGCTTAAGTAATGAAGCATTTTTCAGGGGATGCTATTCTCCTTTGAAGTTCCATTGTTCATCTCTTTTCCTCCTCCTGTCCTATTACACTTGCTGAAGCATGGTTGTCTCTGAGCCGAGGAAGTCTATAGGAGACTCCCAGTGAAACCAGCAATATAATCTTCCATCAGTTAACTTTATCTGTAACCTGGGGTCTTCTAATGGGATTGTTAGACATTCTCCACCTATGAAAATTCCCAAATTAAACCCAGTTGTGACCTGGGTCCCGAGCATGCAATATATTTTGATGTTTGCACATCTTAACTAAAAAAAAAAAAAGGGGGGGGTGGGGGGGGGGGGGGGAGAGAGAGGCGGCATGTAACCAAATACAGAAGGTTGTAACTGAATTACAGCGTATATTAGGCAATTTTTCTTATTTCTGAAGGCGGAGTAAAACGCTTGTAATTTAAATTTGAGAATAGGGCTACATTGGCCAGTGCATTAGCCTAATACACCTTACAGCTTTGACATTAGTGTGTTTTATGAAATCTATAATGAGTAACTTTATCATTGTGTGCTAGAGATCACACATTCTCCAAATGATTTTTCACTTTGAAACATTTTTGTTCTTCCATAGGATCCAAAGGAACGTTTAGGCTGCCATCCTCAAACAGGATTTGCAGATATTCAGGGACATCCATTCTTCCGCAATGTTGATTGGGATCTGGTATGTAAACACTGCTGGGTTTTTTCTGTTATATGCAGTATAACCCTGATAGCTTGTCTTAACGGAAAGTTAAAAGGGATGCCAAATTTGATAACTTCATAATTTTTTTAACTGTTTTTAAACTATACTGTGAAGAGAGGATGTAGATTCCATTAACCCCTTTACACACAGTAACCATAGAAAATTAATTAATTTGCTGGAATATTTGTAAGATGCAAACAAGAAATCTAAGTAATCTTTTCAGAACTCAGTTCTTTTTTAAAACATAAATATAATCTCTGTGATAGGCTGTTACTCATACTTACTTACTTTAATTTATTTCTAGATGGAACAAAAACAGGTGGTTCCTCCATTTAAACCAAATATATCAGGTGAATTTGGTCTGGATAATTTTGATTCCCAGTTCACTAATGAACCTGTCCAGCTCACTCCAGATGATGAGTAAGTAACTAAAACTTAAGAAAACCTTTCTTTAAAAAGTTAGTAAATTATAAAGGTGTGTAAGATCAGTTTGATTGGCTTCATAAAAGATGTACCTACAGGGTTTTTATTGCAGTCTGCTGCTGGGGTGTGGGAACTACCATTCACTGTGGTTCTCTCTAGACTTGGAAAAAGTGAACCAAATTTTACACCAAATTTTACATCATTACAAAAACTTTGGGAGTGGAAAAGATGCTCTCAAAGTGTTTAAAATTTTTATGGAGACAGTCAATGAGTGCTCTTTTGGAGGTGGAGTCTTGAGGGTATCCTCTTCAAAGAGCCATTTTGCTAACACAGGCGCTGACTTTCCAATGTGCTGGGGTGTGCTCAACCCCTGGCTCTGCCCCAGACCCCACCCTCATTCCACCCCTTCCTCCAAGGCCCTGCCCCCTCCCCCTCCCCCTCCCCCAGCAGGTTGCTCCCTCGCTCCTTCCCCTCCCTCCCAAAACCTCCTGCATGCCACGAAACAGCTGATCATGGTGGGGAGGGAGGGGGAGGTACTGATCAGCAGGGCCTGCTGGTGGGCAGCAAACACTGAGGGGGGCAGGGAGGGAGCTGATAGGGGGGCTGCCAGTGGGAGCTCAGCACCCACTGAGTTGGTGCTTATGAACACAAGCCATATTTTGCAGTCTGGTCCATCTTTAAAACCAAGATTTTTGGGGTTGTTTTAATTTCATCATTTGATTTCTTGGGACACTACAGTCTAAGAATTTGTCTCTCAAACACTCTTGGTATTTGACAGGAAAAAAGGGTGGGTTTTGGTTTCCTCCCCGGTGTTAGATGTAGTTACCTTAACAGGATTGAAAAGTCCCATTCAGATGCTGGTTAACTCAGATAAAGCTGACAGTGTAGCTTAGACTTCCCTGCTGTCCAAGTAGGGCCTGAGGGAGAAAATTCAGTCACAAGTAAGATTTGCCTTTCCTGCCTCCCTTAGTAATTAGCCTAAAACAGACTGCTCTCTTTATTTTAGGAGCTTGAGGGCTTTCTATAGTATTTAATGAAATAACTTTGGAACATTATACATGAGAAACTTGTAAGCACTATCAGCCGATACAAATGTTCCATAATGATTATTGTTCAAATATTGAGGACGTCTTAAAGACTGACAGCCTGACTCTCCCCTCACGCTTATTGTAAATAAGTATCTTGCTTGAGATAGTTAAGTGAAGATACACTGATGAGAGGAGTAGTAACTAATTTCTTAATTTTTTTAAGACCCCATCCATTCTAGAAGGGTTTAACCTAGCAGACCTAGGTAGAGAGCGCTGTGCCAGAAGGACCTAAGGGCAGGAGAAGCCAAGTCAGCTCTCCTAAATGGAGCCAGCCTCATACCCTTTTTCTTTCCAGTTTGGAACACCACCTCTGTATGCAGTGTCCAGCCCCCACCTCTCTTTGATAAAGAGCAGGGACAGCAGCAGCCATTGGGAGGGCAGAACATGGTTTGAAGCCAGAAGTAACTTTGTGTTTAGAGGCTGGCAAAGAAATAAGTTAGTGTGAGACAATTTGCTGCACTGAGATTGACTGGCTGGGCCTACTTTGGTGCCTGGATGAAGACCAGAACAGGGCTGTTGCCTGTTCTCTTATGCATTTGTTTGTTGCTCGCTTCCCTGCAACTTCTTGACTCCAGTTCCTCAGAGGACTATGAAAGAATGTCCTCCTTAGGGTTCTAAAGTTTAAGACCAACTCTTTATGCTTTAGTTTCCTAATCCTTTTTATACAACTTTGATACTCTTAGTTGAGTAATATTGCAAGTAGCAATTTTGTGTTAACTCAAGATACTAACTAGTTTTTATTTTAACAGTGATATTGTGAAGAAGATTGACCAATCTGAATTTGAAGGCTTTGAATATATTAATCCTCTTTTGATGTCAGCTGAGGAATGTGTCTGATCTTTCGTTTCTGGACTGTGCCATATATTGTATCTATCACTTGTTTTCTGCATGGATAAACAACTTGCCATTTGGTTGCACTTGTATCAAATGAAAAACATTTTACCCTTGCCACCAGCTGTGGAGTCAGAGATTTTTAATCTTGGTTGTTACAACTTGCTATCATGCCGAACTTTTTGTGTTAGGTTGCAAAAAAAAATTTGAAATGTTAATCTACCAGCAATCTTGCCAAAGTCTAATTTTAATATAGAAGCAGCCATTGGTTGCTAACTCTCAGCTAGTGGATTTTTCTGTTTAAACTGCTGTAAGTAATGTAGTTGTCTGCTTAAAGAAAAATCTTCTTACTGCTTTAAGAGCATGTGTTGCATTAGGGCACATAATGAAACAGCATTAAAAGCCATTAATACTTGCATTTTAACAGCAAGACTGACAAGACTTCAGTTCTGGTAATTTCTAAAGCCTCTCTCCTCCAACTTTGCTATGTACACTGATCTTTCCATGTTTACAGTTGAACCTGTAGTGTTCCCCCATACACTCAAATGACAGTAGGACAGCAGTTCTTTAAAATGGGTAGAGCGAAGGAGAGTGGCTGCTTTCTTGGACTATGGAACGTTGATTCTGTTCCAAGAGAAGATAATGCTCATGTAATTGAATGAATAGATTCCACTCCTGAGCTACTTCTGATTGATAACCGGAGGTAATGCACACACTTTGGCATGTGAAAAGTGCGTGCCTTTCCAAGCCTGTCCCTTTCAGCAAGGGCTGTAAGTGATGTAAAGTATCAGTTTAAATGAGTGGAACTCACTTCCTACTTTTTTTTTTTTTTTAAGGACACAATCTGCATAGAGAATTCTTTTTAGCAGAAATGGGCAGCTAATATTCAAGAATGTAGGACCTCATGCTATTTATTCCTTAAGTTTTGGTAGATCTGAAATGGTTATCTTACAGCTACAGCCTAGCTAAGCAGGAGACAGTAAAATTAATAGAATCTTATTGCCATGCTGTTGGAAAAGCGTTCCATCTTCCCAGTGGAGAAAAAAGTGCATGTTTTTTATTCATGTAACCCAGTATCTGAAAAGTGGAAGGGCTAGACAGTGACTCCTGAACTTTTTTTGGTGTTTTTCAATTTATGAATAATCTCTTCCAAATCTTAGGTGTCCACAATGGACTCGAGCTAACTGGCAGGAAAAATTGGAATAAATGAAAGTAATTTAAACAAGAAGTGACTTGATCAGAAGTGAGATTCTTATAAATGTCCATATGGATAGCTAAATATTCAAATTCTTTTTTTGAATCTGAGGGATATACTGGCTGAAGAGATGCCAGATATATTTTATGCTTGGTTTTAAAACATTTGTAAGGAAAAGGGATGTTAAGAGACATTGAGTCAAATCTATATAAATGGCTTAAGCTAAACTGCTAAGTATTAGTAAAAGCAGACTTAATAGAACACTATTCTGAAAACGCAACATACCTTAGGGCTTGTCTACACTGTGCTGGCAAAGCACATTAGGGGGTGTGATTTGTAGAGTGCACTAATATTCTGCACTGTGTACACCCTGCTGGCCTGCTCTAAAAGGTACCTAGTTTGCATTGATGTCGTTGCAAGAGCCATGTAGACAAGCCTTTAGCAAGAGTTACCTAAGGTTAATGAGCCTCCCCTTTGCTGCTGTTTTTTTCCCTTGAATGCTATAGTGTATTGACACTATAATTTCAGTTTTGGTGGTGTGAATTATCTTCATTTGTATACTTAAACTGTTTCGGACACTGACTTAGTAGCTTTAATAAAAGAGATTGACACTACTTGGTACATGCCCATAGTACAGTACCTAGGCCACTTTTGTTTACAAGATACATTGTAGGACTAATATTTGAAAAAATATATTAGGCTACATTTTCAAAACTGACAAGCTGTTTTGGGTGCCTCAACTTTTGGGAAATACTGAGTTTGCGCCACCCACCCATCTCATGAAAATAATGCTCCTGTAAGATGTCTCAAGTTGGGCCCTTAAAATCAGAAGCTGCTTTTTAGGCTTTAATCTGTTTAAATCTTAAAGGTTTTTTTCACTACACAAGTTAAATTTGGGATAATCTTGAAGTATTTAGCCTTTGACTTGTAAAGTCGTCATCTGTATAGAAGTCTGGAATTTGTTGGTATTAAACTCAGAGGCTGCTATCAATGAGGAATTAACTGGGCTCTGTACAGTGACTTAAATTCATAGGATATTCAGTGAAAAACAGTTTTATATAGGGAAGTGTATTTTCAGATTTTCATCATATACATAAAGATGAATGGAATTCTCACCTTGAAGTTTTTGTGCTTGATGCAAAAACATTTTTTATAGATAATGTTACAGAAGATACACATCTTTTTATTTATGTATTTTAACCTTAAGATCTGCCTTCTGTTTTAGTATCAACTTAGTTAACAAAAAAGTGATTGATATATATTTTAAACAATTGTCACTGCAAGTCTATTTTTTACTTTCTCTTCTAAACTCAGTGCCATGACATTAACTGTTAATTTTTTTTAAGTTGTTAAATGTGTAGAGGCTGTCTTAGCATATTTAGCAGGGAAATCAGGCATGGACAGTCAAATACAGTAGGTTATTATCTTGTAAAGATAAACTGTCTACATCAGAATCATGATGTGTTTATGTGGAGTAACTTCATTTTTGTATACAAATTGGACTCTGGGTGCTCTTCTAGTTGAATACCGTTGCTACTGTATTTTTCTTCTTCACCTAGAACACTATTTTGAACATTATACTGTGTAATCATTTCCTGTATTTGTGCACACATTTTTTTTACTTGTCTTTTAAATAAAAAATTTATATTAGGGCTCTGAATATTCTATTAACACTAGTATAACTCGAGGGATGATGGATATTTTCATGTAACTGGATTGTATGCTGTAGTTGGAACCTCTCTATAGTGTTATCCAAGTCTCTTCTGTAAGCAGTCTCACAGCACACTGACTTGCATTTCAGAATTATGTCGCCATAAACCTTCACCCAGGGCAGTCCTAAAATAGTGACCCAACAAAAGAATCAAGTTTGTGTGCAAGAGGAAGGAGCAAGGCTTAGGAGTACTTGGAGTGATGCTAGCCAGGGAATGAACTGCTGGCATATATGACAGGTTTGGGGATAAAATTTTAACAGTTTACAGTGCTATTTCAAATCCGAAAGAATGGGATAATTTTGTAGCTCATATATGGAGATCATGTTGCAACTGTAACCAAACAATTGATTAGTGCTGTTTACAAAAATATTACATTAAGATATTATGGCAAGGATAGTGTGTTTTTTAAGACTGCCAGATCATATTCAGTTCAGCCCAATTGTGTGCTTGGTTCATCCAAGGGCCCCAGCAAACAGGTTCCATTCTGCTACAAGGAAAACATCTTTTTCTGGTTTCTATGTGGACTATGTTGCACTAAGGCCCTTGGAAGATTTTACTTCTCCCTAGGTGAGTGCTGCAGCCACCTCCTACACCACCTAACTGCTTCCACTAAACACCATAAAAGCAAAAAGTGTTTTTTCTCACCAGGAAAGCATCTCATTCTCAAGATAAGTCTGACCAACTTATCCTAACCTGTGAGGCCAAAACATAGTCTAAGCCTATGTCCCCCCTGCCCTCAGAACCTGTCACTTTCCAATATTTGAAGTTGAACTTTGATGCTAGAGCATTCCCCTGGAGTTTTAATGAAGGGCTCAAAAGACACTTTCCCTCCTTGTGTGATCCTATGGTTGATTTCTCTAGAGCAGGGGTCTTAAACATGCGGCCCGCCAAACTCCCCCGGCCCGTGCGCTCCCCTGCCCCTCTGCCTACCCTGTGGCGGCGCAAGCCCCGCACTGCTCCCTGAAGCGGCTGGAACTATGTCCCTGCAGCCTGGAGTGGGAGAGTAGAGGGCTCCGTGCTCTTGCTTCCGGGCACTGGCCCCCACAGCTCCCATTGGCCTGGAACGGGGAACCGTGGCCAATGGGAGCTTTGGGGGAGGTACCTGGAGGAGCAAGAGCAGCACATGGAGCTGTCCGTGTCTCTTTCTACCCCCCCGCCCCCGCGGACTCCAGCTGCTTCCTGGAGCAGAGCAGGGCCAGGGCAGGCAGGCAGGAAGCCTGCCCTAGCCATGGTGTGCTGTGCTGCCACCTCAGAGCCACTCCAGGTAAGTGGCGCCAGGCCAGAGCCTACATCCTCCCACACCCCAACTCCCTGCCCTGAGCCCCCTGCACCCCAATCCCCTGCTGCACCCCTCTTGCACCCCACACCCCAATTCCCTGCCCTGAGCCCCCTGCCGTACCCTGCACATCTCCTGCACCTCAACTCCCTGCCCTGAGCCCCCATCACACCCCGCACCCCTCCTGCACCCCCTGGGGGCAGGGAGGGGGCAGAGTTGGGGTGAGGACTTCAGGGAAGGGGTTGGAATGGGGGCAGGGAAGGGGCGGGGCAGGGGTAGGGCCTCATGGAAGGGGTGGAGTGGGGGCAGGGGCAGCAAGGGGTGGGTGTCAGTGATGCGGCCCTCAGGCCAATGCACTAGTCCTCATGCGGCCCTTGTGGTAGTTTGAGACCCCTGCTCTAGAGCGTGAGGTGGTCAACCTGGGTCTTATGACCACCACGCCCTTCCCACGTTGTTAAATGGAAGAGGGGTTCTGCAGGGGTCCTATTGTGGAAAAAGTTGAGAACCATTGCTCTTGAATTTCTTTCTAGGTGTGATTTTGAGTTGCAATGACATCAGCTATAAGGATAAGTGAAACCACAGATTTGCTTGCAAAATTCTATTAATTATATTTTGCCGTGACACATACTGGTGCTGAGAACTGATGCAAGTACGAAAAAACCCCTCCATGTTTCACATTGATCAATTCCTCCTGTCCTTGTGTCCCATCATGAAATGAGATTAAAGGATATACATAGGTATCTAAACTCAGGCTTCAGTCATTTTGCTAAAAATAACTTATTGTATATGATTCACATTGATACAACCTGACATTTTCTCCTTCACAGGTTTTTTTTTAAACAGTCTCTTTTTAGGTTGTCAAGTGGCTGACACGATTTTATATGTACATTGTAACATTCTAGTTACTTACTATAATTTATCAAATATTTAAATTGTCTGAGATTACATTGCCTTCTGAGGGGTGGCTTGCGAAGAATATCAGGCTGTACGTTGGAAATACGCACAACAGAAAACAAGTAATGCAACTGTTCTAGATTTCTATTCTAGATGGACTTGTGAAGATTTGAGAATATTCTGAGGACAAATATGCAATTTTCTGCCTAGAAATATTGGCTGTGCTGTCATTTTTCCACAGATGAGGAAATTGATCTAAATGACTTGTAAAGGAAAAATTGACTTCTGCTTATTTTTGCTGTGTCTAGAGAGAAAATTCAACTTCAAGTTTTGTTTACTTTAGAAATTCACATGGACTACCCTTGAATACTCCTATGGCTGATGTAGTAAGCACTACTAATTAAAACACATGGAATAATTAATAAGTTCTCTGAGCTGAACATCTGTTCTTCAATTCAGAGCTGCATGTTCCTGCACACATTTGAGATATCCAAGAGCCCTCCACCAAGAAAGACAGACACGACTTCCTCTTCCTCGTATTTCAAAGAGGAAGAAAGACATGTAGAACAATTTTTTGGAGGACACTAACAAAATGAAAATGCATATTTTTGTCCTTTGCCTCTGTTCAATTTAATTTTACTTTTTGGCAATTTCAGAGACTATCAGGAAACATTAGCAA